GAAAGTTATGACTTCTTGCTTTCTAAACAAGTCCATTGTCTTGCTTCTTCATGATAACAAAGTTCATAATACTAATTATGGAAAAGCATCTAACCTCTGAGTGCCCAGTTTCTGGCTGGCTAGTTACTGAGCAAACTCCAGGTTCAGTCTGAAATTTCTCTCCAAGTTTGGATTAAATCAATTTTTTACTCTAAGCCTCTAGAAATATTTCTTATAGACTATTTTATGTTGTTGGAAACAATGTTATTCCTAATCTCAACACTGCTACATCTGTTTTTTACTTTTGCTTCAGTTCATTAGTCCTTATGATCTTCCTTGGCTCTTGCAGCATTTTGATATTGCTCCCAGGTAAATCAATTTGCTCAGTAAAGGAGAGAGGCCAGGAAACTGTCGCCCTTCTTACTGGGTTTATGACAGCCACCTGCACTACAGAAGCTAAAATGGGGAGAAATTCAGCTCCCAAATTCAAGTTTGACCTTGATTAGAAGAGTCTTGATATTAATCAAAGAGGGAAAGTCTACTGCTAATTCAGTTTAATCCCTAGCATTACAGCTATTTGTCGGGTGGGGAAGGGTTGGGGTGGGGGCTGAAAAGGGTCTTTCTTTTGGGGCAAGGGATGAGGAGGGAAATATCCATTTAGGTATTTAGAAGGTGCCATGTGCTCAGTTATTTAAGGAGTTATTTCATGTTTTTGGTATAGAAAAATCTGGCTCTATCTACATCATTCTGAAGCTGCACAATGATGGCCAAATATTTTATTTAGTGGCAGCAGGCTGCATTTAAAAAAGGGTTAACACCTAAGGAAGAATAGCGGGGTTAACTTGAGCCTTTCAAGAAGCCCTATCTTCTACTCTACTGGCTAAGCAATGGCCTGTTTCAACTGTATTAAATTAACTGGGTTCTGAATATGCATGATTTTATCTTAGAAGAACCAGTGCCCTTTGTCACAATATTTTTCAGTCTCTTACAGTTTCTTTTATAGGTGCTATTATTCACTAGGCTAGTGTATAGGGCTGAGCAGCATTGCTGTGTAGCTGTTAAGCTGACTTTATTCAAGAGGCAATAGAGCATTCAGAGCTCTACATCAGTCTGCTCCTGCAAGAAGATTGCACAGAGAGACTACAAACAAAGCATGACAAAGGAGTAAGAATGGTACATTAGAATATCTGAAAGAAATACTATTTGTTTGCAAGCAGGAACTGATAGGAGCACAAAATAGACCAAATAACAGAAAACGAAGAAGATAAATTGTTCTGGGACTTTAGAATTCAAACGGACAAGTACCAGACATATAACATGCCAAAGACAAAAAAGACAAGAAAGACAAAAAAGTCCAGATAGTGGATGTGAAAGTACCTGGAGGCAGCAGAAGAGAAGATAAAGAATAGGAGAAAATCATAAACACTTGCAAATAGAAGTAGAATGACTGTAGAAAAAGCAAACAAAGATAGAATCAACAGTAATAGGCAGCTTGGGTGCAATCCCAAAACAACTGGCGCACCACTTGAACACCATCAGCATTGACAAAATCCCTATCAGTCGATTATAAAAGGCAGCTTTCTTGGAACAACTTACATCCTGGAGATGATAGCTTTTAACATCATCAAACAAAAGCATTTGCCTATCCCAGATCCTTGGGAAGGACTCAGTAAGTGGATAAAAATTGCTTAACGCATTGTAAGCCGCCCTGAATCTCCGGAGAAGGGCGGCATATAAATTAAAGCAAAAAAAAAAAAAAAAGTCAAATCCAGTCTACATATCTGGCTGACTGTGTGATGAATCATAACTCAATAGGTAGACAAAAATGTCAAATCCAGTCTGAACATCTGGCTGACTTTGTGACGAACCACAATAACAGACTGATAAAAGTCTTGGCTCATAACATGAAATGGCTTGAAAGAAGAAAGTATGGATAATTGAAGTGGCAATACCAGAGGATAGTAGAATAAACGATAAACATCTGGAAAAGTTCGGAAAATACCAAGATCTGAAAATTGAAAGATTATGACATAAACCAGCTTTGGTGGTCTCAGTTGGCACAGTAGGTGTCATACCAAAAGATATTCGATGGCACTTAGAAATTTCCATCTGTCAGTTGTAAAAGGCCACGCCACTTGGATCCATACATATACCACGCTGACAGATTATGGCATCCTAGATTCTTGGGAAGAATTCGATGTATATGAGGGCAAAATCCAGCTAAAGTACCAGCAGCTGTGACTTCACATTGTTGAGGAAAGATAATAATTTATAATGTTTTAGAAAAAAGATAAAAAGCTTATTGTGATATAATTTGATAAACATCATGACTACAAAAAGATGTTTAGAAAAGAGCTAAAACACTCTAATTTAAACAACACAATACAGGTAGTCCTCGATTTATGACCACAATTGAACCCAAAATTTCTGTTGTTAAGTGAGACAACAAATGTGAGCTTTGCCCCACTTTTCAACCTTTCTTGCCACATTTGTTAAGTGAATTAGGCTTTCTCATTGACTTTGCTTGACGAAAGGTTGCAAAATGTGACTCCAGGACATTGCATCCATCATAAATATGAATCATTGCAAGCATTCGAATTTTGATTAGATGACCATGGGGATGCTGGAAAGGTCACAAGTCTGAAAAACATTCATAAGTCACTTTTTCAGTGCTGTTGTAACTTTGAGTGGTTACTAAACAAATTGTTGTTAAGTCGAGGTCTACCTGTATTATCATCATGCACTCTTGGGGGTTCATGATGGATTCCCTCTGGAGAATAATACAATGGTTGTTGAAAGGAGCGTATGTTTACAAAGAGAAGAACATATTTAATTGATTTGAGATTATTATTTTTTTCCCTTTTGGCAAACTCCTCAAAATTCTTTAAAGAGGCTTGGCTATCTTCTAGCTACATTCAGTTCTTCTAAAACTCTTCTACCAGCACATTTTTGGTGAGCTCTATACTGACATCCGATAATAGCTTCATTTATTCCTGCTTCCTGTCCCAACACATTGCTACTGCATTTCATTATGAATTACCATTGCAAGCCTATGCACATATTCCTAGAATGCCCCATCAAACTCGGGGGACTTGCTTCTAAGTAAAACATATGCTTTACATACCATTACATTGTCCCTTCTCCATGGCATTTAAGGTAACTTTTTTTGTCTTTCTTATCAATAATTGTTAAATCCAGGGTGTTGTATGTGGCAAATGCTTGACTGTTTGAATTCTGAAGTCCCGGGACACTTTAGTTTCTTAGTTTTCTATTACTTTGTCTATTTTGTGGCCCTATTTTGTCTAGTTTTGGCTTTCAGGCAAGTGGTATTTCTTGCAGGTATTCAAATACACCATTCTTATTACTTCATTATCCCATTTTCTGTAATCTGTCTGTTGTTTGCTGTTATGGTTGGCCACTGATGATGATGATTATATAATTAATCTCCAATTACCGGTAGATTCACAGTCAAAGATGGTAAAAATCTAATAATTCAAGACCCAACCAAGGATCTAAGAATTATTATTATTATTATTATAGGCAGTTCCAAGCAGGGTATATTTTGTAAAATTAAGGTGTTCAGGTCCAAATTAGAATTATTATTATTGTTCGTCAGTCAGCCAGATGTTGAGACTGGATTTGGCATTTTAATCCACTTTTTGAGTCCTTCCCAAAGACCTGGGATATGCAGATGTTGATGTTTGGTGGTGTTAGAGGTATCATCGCAGGATGTAAGTGATTCAGAGTAAAGCCACCTTTTGCAATTGACTGACGGTGAATTTGTCAATGCCGATGGTGTTCAAGTGGTGCTCCAGTTCTTTTGGGATTATTATGGTTCATTACACAGTCATCCAGATATTCAAACTGGATTTGGCATTTTTATCCACCTATCGAGTCCTTCCCAAGGATTAGACCCTTTATCCACATATTGATATTTGCAGACTACCAAGGAAAACAGGTGGGGTTATTGTTATTATTATGGTTCATTACAGTCAGCCAGATGGTTAAATCAGATTTGGCATTTTTATCCACATGTCCTTCCCAAAGATCTGGTATTATTATCTCCTGCCTATTACATATTTTATCCTGCTTTTATTTTTTTTAAATATATAGTTAACCATTATCTATACCATACACCCAAATTATCTGATAATCTATAAAACCAGATACTATCTAGAAAATTTCACTCAAACACCCAATTCCTACAAATTAGTTTAATTTTGAACTGATAATATGTAAATAGATTTGGATCTTGATTTCCATTCAGCTGCCAGAACCTTCTGGGAAGAGAGACCCATTCATGGAATAGTAGCAAGGATGTGACTTTTCCTATTTCCCCTTTCTTATAGTGCTTGAAAGTTTTATTCCTGAGGGTTCTTGCAGACAAAGACTGCAACAGGAGAAGAAAAGTAATTTCTACCAACAAGCTCTTCTGCTGAGTTACAAGCCCCTTTTCTGAACATGGAAGTTAATTCAAATCTGGGCATTGAATTTAATAGGCATTACAATCATTTTAATGTCTAAAACTCTGGATGTTATTTATTTTATTCTATGCCATTTTTATTTTTTTTTCTAACTCTCACCTTTTTGGCTCCATCTTCCAGTAGTGGAACACCTAAAGTCCCATTTAATGGCTACTAATTCAACAGTGTCCTCTTTATTTCTGTATTACATCATTTAGAACATGGATATGGAATAAATGATTTGGATATACAGTAAATGGTTTCTTAATTACTTTTATTTACATAAAATATACATTTATCTTGAAGATTTTAATATTCCCTGTGCTTCAGGCCAAGCCATGCTGCCAATTAAGAAAAATCTTATTGTTCAACACTCTCTTTATTGCAGGCCCAGCATTACAGTAACAGTTTCAATTATGCAACAGCTGTGATCTTTATATGATAATCATAATGGTGTTACAGTAACTGCACCTTAGACAGAAACGTATCAGGAGTGTGGGAAACAGGGCGTATGAAGAAGGTCTGTTCACTACTTCTCTTTTTGTCTTTCTCTGCCAGCGGACCCAGTGGTACAGATCGAAGGCAATCCACATTGTTGTTTCTTCAACTTCAGCCCTAAAATTATGTTCACCAAGGTAGTAAAGGCACAGCTCTGGGTGTACCTAAGGCCTGTTCAACACACATCCACAGTTTATCTACAGATCCTGCGTCTTAAGCCGGTGACAGAAGATGGGAGCCGACATATCCGTATCCGCTCACTCAAGATTGACCTGAATTCACGCATTGGCCACTGGCAGAGCATTGATTTCAAGCACGTGCTTCAGAACTGGTTCAAGCAGCCTCAGAACAACTGGGGTATTGAAATCAACGCTTTTGATCCCAATGGCAATGACCTGGCAGTGACTTCTCTTGGGCCTGGTGCTGAAGGCCTGGTGGGTAAATGAGAACACTTGCTATCTATCCTCTTCTTTCTTGATCCTAGGCTTGAAAATGGAGCCGGAGGCCCATGGAATATTTTGATTGCCGGCTGAGCTCATATCTGTCAACGTTTTTCAGCCATTGCAATGGGCTTTGAGAATAATCATGGGGCATAGGAGGAAGAGCTGCAGCCTAGACAACAATCTGATAAACAAAATCTGAGTCCAAAGGTGGTATGTGGGTGGAGAAAGCATTTCAGAAGGGAGACTCCCTAGTTCTTTGGAAAGTAAAGGCAAGGGAAGGGAAAAGTTCTTTCAGACTTTCAAGAGTCTATTATTGTAATTCTTATAATAAAGGTACTATTAGGACTCATGGTTAAGGTTTCCTGTCTGGACTACCTTGAAGGGCTGACAACCATGATATAGCTTTGACCTAATTTTAACGTTAGGGTAAGTAGTACTGTTGGGAGTGTTCCCTAGGGAGTGCTGCCTTTCAGAATCAATACTATCAGTGTATAATATAATAATCAAATGCAGGTTGGAGAATGTGAAGTATTTTCCTTTTATCTGTTTCATCTTAACAGTAGGCTTATGCTATTGTCAGGGCTAGGATTTAAGAAGGGAGTTCTTACTACCTCTATGGTCAGTTGGGGACTGCAATGCTATTAGTTAGAGGTGTTTACATGTCAGTCATGGCATTGCAAAGTCATTGTGCTAGTTGCACAATGGTGACTTTTGCTTGATAATAACACAATCAGTATTCTCGCGATATTCTTATTACAGCCATATGCATTAATTTAGACACAATATTGATTGCTTACAAACATAGGATTAAGATAAGTTTATATCAGTTTAATTATTTACATAGAAAAATGAGGACAACTCAATTTCAGTTTGTGCTAATTAGACATCTAACAATGAAATATCCTCAGGAATTCAGAATTTACAGGATATATTTTACAGTTGTACTTTATTAGAATTAGCTCTCTTTTTTATACAGAGAGCTATTGTATCATGCATTATTTCATGATTTAATTTAATCTTATAACTCATCAAATTATTTATCTCAAAAACATTTAGCAAATTACTTATATGAATTTCATCTCAATTTTCCTATGTGTCTTTTTTAAATTCTCTCTCTCATTCTGAATTATTTCCTTGGAAGCTATCCCTTTAATTATAATCACCTAATAATTCTTATAGCTTAATTAAGACATATAACTAATAAAAAATACAACATAAAGTACATTAAAAAAATTCTCTTTCAGAGTACTATTCATCCATTATGTACAAACTGATCTTTTAGCCTGAATACTTTTTTCCCCCTAGAAGCAACTGATGGATCAATATTCCACTTTTTCATGGAATTTTTTTTTCATAGTAGACCTTGGTTTACTTAAGGAATATTTCATCATCAGGCTTAATGGTGTTAGCTGGAGTGGATTTTTTTTTTAAAGGAGCAAAGCTCAGGACTGTTATTAGAAACTGAATAAATAACTGGAATAAATAATGACAACTGCTATGGGCTATCTTGGAAAGATGGTCAAGAGATTGTATTGGGTTTGGTAAGTCTGCAGAGGTGAATGTATATTCATAGCATTAGTTTACTTAAGAGATACAAAGGGGGACAGCAAAGGTTGCACAGATGAAAAGTGAATGGATTAGGCATAGATGTGCATGTAATTGATACCCATCAAAACTCTCGTCACAGGCTGTTTTCCACAGCTAGAAACTGTTATCTCATCACGGGGGCCAATAGTTATCCTACCTAAATGCCTATCTCTGTGATTTCTCTTTTTGTATGTCATTTGCAGCACCCATTCATGGAACTGCGTGTGCTGGAGAACAACAAACGGTCCCGAAGGAATCTAGGCTTAGACTGTGATGAGCACTCAACGGAGTCCCGCTGTTGCCGTTACCCCCTGACTGTTGACTTTGAAGCTTTCGGCTGGGATTGGATAATTGCCCCGAAGCGGTACAAAGCCAACTATTGTTCAGGCCAGTGTGAATATATGTTCATGCAGAAATATCCCCATACCCACTTGGTGCAGCAAGCCAATCCCCGGGGCTCAGCAGGGCCGTGCTGTACACCCACCAAGATGTCTCCCATCAACATGCTGTATTTCAATGACAAACAGCAGATAATCTACGGCAAAATCCCTGGCATGGTGGTTGACAGGTGTGGATGCTCTTAAACTCCCAGCCTGTTCTGTTCCATTCTTTTTCCTGTTTCTCCCCCACCCCACCCTGCCCGGATTCTTGCTTTCGACGATGCACCCTGACATTGATGAATCCATTCATTAGCATTTTAAAACACGTTTGAAGAGAAAGTAATTGTGGGAAAAGAACAAAACAAACAGAATTGTATCGAAAATCTCTGAAGTGACAACATGCGCTGTGCAATAATCAAAATAGACATCGCATTAATGGAGAGTGGATGAGTTGTCTTGGATCAATACTTCCATTCCTGAGTCAGATCTGAAACAAGCATTCTTCTCTCCTCAAGCTCTTTGTTTGACCCAACACTTCTCAAGCTTTACTTTTACTGGCATTCTCTCTTACCAAGCCCCCCCCCACTTTTCCTCTCTTGAGCTGAGACGCAAAAGTGGTGATAAAGAGAAAAGTCCATCAGGAAAAAAAAAAGAGCTGTTCAATCCATTTACAAGAACAAAAGCTTCCTTAGGTTGTGATAATGTGGAATAAAATGCTGTATGAAGTTATAGAGATAAGCACGGGGAAGGGGGGGTTTAAAATGGATATTTTATATGATGAAGATGAATGAAATCTGCCAGCATGAGGGATATGTGCCATCCTGAATTTGGGGGAGGTGGGTGGGAGGGAAGGAAGGGATGATTTTAGAAGTTGAGGATTGCTGAACCTGCCTGCCTTTTGAGAGACTGAATCCCTAAAGAAATGGGAGGCTCTGAAGAAATGAAAACTGGAATTATTTGGAATGCTTTTGCGAGTTGCATGATAGCAAGAAAAAATAATGAAATGGAGGCATAGATGGGGAGGGGGGTTATGGAGGAATTATCTAAATGGAGGATAAAATGTTAATTTTAGCTGCCTTGTATTCACATACAACTCTTTCTTTTCAATATCTTTATATATAACCTGAGCAATCTTTCTCCAAAAGTCATTATTCTTTAGCTTCCTTTTTTTAAAAAGAAAATTGAGAAACTAATTCAGTGAATTTAAATTACCTATTTCCATCCTCAACCCACCTTTGAGGTAGTGTTAAAAAAAAACCCACAGAAAGGGTATTGTCCATGTGAGGATAAAGAATTTTACTTACAGAACAGAAATCTCTCCAGGCAGGATGAAGTTAAGAAAATTTATTTATTTATTCCTGGCAATAGAATCTTTTTTTCTGTGTCACTTTTGCTTAATATTCCAATGAGGAAAAATCATATATATACATGTATATATGATAGAATTGGTAATTTTTCTTTATCATTTGTAGAACTCAACTAGATCCATCCAGTTACTCTGGTTATGTACAATATTTTTCTACTGGCTAATATTGACATATCAATATCTTTGAATAATAGGATGTGTTGCTCTGTACTGTTCCTTTTCCCCCTTCCTAACATTTTAATCCTTTTTAAATTAATTTTAAATGCACTTATATAGAGATTTAATTTCCAGCTTTCTTTGATGTTGTAGTATGACTTTCCTTCACCTAACCAAATAATACCATCCAATTCTGCTTCTTTCTAAAGCAGCAAAATCCAGGTAACATAAGAGAATTAAATTAATAGGGAATGCTTTCTAAATAGAACTCTATTGATGCCATAGATTGAGTTAATTTAACTGAAGTGTTGCTGTTCTGTTTTCAAGAGTTTGTTGAAAGTAGACAGAAGATAATTATCCTTCAAGTGACAAAGCCTTAGCCGTATAGCCAGAATACAGTAATTGCAATCTTCAAGTTTGTATAACTCAGATAGGATTTCAGATACAGAAGATAGAAGCTTTTTGTCAGAATCTCTAGCAAGACCAATTGTATGGGACCAGGATAACAAATTGCATCTAGATGTTAGCACTTGCTGTTTCCTACTATTAGGATTAATTACACGTCTCATAATTCTCAGAATTGAAGAAGAGGGGGAGGTAAAGGTTAAAAATTATTAAGACACTAATTATTATTTACATTAGTGATAATCATGGAGTCAAAGTATTCAAAGGTGGTTTTTCCAGGCAACTGGGTAATGTTGCAACCTGGACCACAAATAAGTGATCCATTATTAGAGATTGTAATCCAGCATGTGAACTAGAAAACAAAATGTTGCTGTTTGACAATGACCTGTGTCCAGTCATTCCCTGCTGATTCTCTATTTGCGCAGGAAACAAAAGTTTGACAAGTTTGGCATAGGAAAAATCAGTTTTTTCCAATTGTGGATAGCAGTAGCCAAATTATGAATGAACCACCAAAATATTATTTTCAAAGATTGAAGCACTTTGGCAGACGGGATGGCATATCTAACAGACTTTGTATTTTTTGGAAGGATCACTTTCTTTTCTTAAGTAGAAGTAAAAAAAAAATAGGCAAAACAATGAATAGCAACTTTGCAATGAATCAGCTTTCCCTCTCCTGATTCATTGTCACATTTGGAATGTTAGACCAATTCCTTTCTATTTGTGAGGTCAAAGTAAGGATTGTATTAATGTGAGACTTTGCTGTTGCAGTTTTCATAATATTTGTGCAATGAAATTGGAATGAAGACTTTGTAATTACTTAACTGAAAAAGGAAATATGTGACAGGCAAGTGAGAATTAAATAGGCCTTTAGTCTTAAGGCATCAAACTGGAAAAACACTGGGACTTAAACTGCTCATACCATTGTGGCGTCTTGATTTCCCTTTTGCTATTTTCCTGACAGTATGAAATCAGGATCCCTGTTTCTTCAGAGTTCAACTGTTCCTGCTGCTTTAGGGCTTGTTTCTCTACTTTCGGCTTGGGCTGTCTAGGGAGCTGCTGTGTTGTATGATGCAACCCTTCAGAAATGCCTGTCATAGGTCTGGAACCCAAGTGCTGAGGTGATGGACCGGAGGGGAGTCTGGCAGGTCTGGCGCCAAGAATTTAGTCAAGATTTTCAGCATAGACAATTTTGAGCCAACCAACTAGCTTGCCAACACGACAGCTGCTCTATTGTAATCAAACAACTAAAATATGCCCTTTAAATTTTTCTGAAGTCCCTTCCACAAAAGTACTGGTTTTGGATAAGATGGGTATTAATAAATGGGGAAGAAGAGTCAACCGAGATTGTCAGGAAGAAAGATTATTTTTCTAGTTTCTAGCACTTATTGTATATTAAGTTGAGGATCTCGGCACTCAGGTAGATTTCTATGTAGATGACAACTTTGGTTCTTTTGTAGACAAACTCATACAGCTTTGATTTCTTTCTTGAAAGTTCCATAATACTAAAGCAGCAAAGAAGGCATGGATGGATTTTGGATTGAGGATATATAAGGTGAAATTCTGCACCCCCAAAACAGACTCCCACCTCTATTCTATTGATAGGGAGTTTAACACTGCTCAAGTTGAGCAGAATCTTAGCACTTCTCATGGGTTAAATCCTAAATCTTAAAAGAAGGGAACAGTCGCTTACCCAAATGGCACAGAGAACAAACTCTCCTGGCCCTTTCTGAGCTGTACTGCTTTTCCTCCTCTAGCACTTATAGATTGAAGCGCTTCGCTCTCTTTCAAAGCACTCATCAAACATGCCTTCTCAGCTTAACACTGGCTAAATTACCCTAACTTATTAATAGCAGAAATGGAGAGTTTTAAACACATAGAGAACAACAGCTCTGCAACTAGTAGCCTATGAGGGCATTCATAGCTGGAATACTTAATTTTTCAATAGCTTAGAATCTTTTTAAAAAGATGGCTAATAGGGTTTAGTTGGGGTCGGGGTGGGGGGGTTATATCTCTTATCTCAGTATTTGTTACCTGCATTGTTTAGTCTGCATTCTTGTCATTTATCAGGCCCATACAAAGATTTAGTGTCTTCTTGAGAAAGAAATTAAATAGTTTCTTTTGTAATGTGCTGCCAAATCCCCACATTTGGACTACCAGCAGTGCGAATGACATATATATGACAGTTTTAACATTTTAGACAAAGGGAAAAATGTGCATAAATCTTGAAATGTGAGATTTGTCTTAAAAATTGGATCCTAGCAACCTTTATTATTTGTCTTAGTATTTTTCTGAATGAATTCTGAGTATTTGCTATTTAGTAATGTAGAATAATACCACTGATTTATTTTTCAATTCTTGTCCTATTATTATTTTTTTCCATCTTTGTGAATGAATACAAAATCTGCAAATAACTGGTATTTCAACCCTCCTCTGAAGTATTATATTGCTCTGGGAATTTATATTGAGAAATAGCAAGACATACTTAACTAACAATCCTGCAAACATGTAAAATTCTCTGCATTTTAGTTTCTTGTTTTGCAACATATAGTCTACCTTTCAACTCTTATTGGACTTGGCATAGAAACAGGCAATTCAGAGAAAATGTGAGAGGGCTTTTCTCAATAAACATGGCATATTAAGAGATACTGTACTGCTTTCTCTCTGAATAGAACAAGGTACATGTTGCATAGCTTGTAATTCAAGTAGCTATGGTACTCTGTAAAGAATTAGCAACAGAACAGAAATTACTTTCCTTTACTAAACAATAATCCCTACATATATCTAGGCACAACTTTTTCCCTTTTAAGTCAATCCATAATACAAAGATATATTTTTAATTTTCTAGCAGTGATTAAAAAGGTATATCTTGTACAAAAAACTTCCTCACAACTACTGACCCCAACAATTTGACAAATCAAACGTTGCTGATGATTTTATTCATATGTTTGTGTGTGTGTGCATATATAAACACATTCTCTAAAAGCCTAGAATATTTGATGTAGAAATGAAAAATGAATGACTTCCAAATCTTTATTCAGTCAAGCATTTTTCTTCTAATATTATATCAGCACTGTCATTCACAAAAGGTGCCTTTTGATATTTTACAGACAGGGCACATAGCACACACAATCTTTCATTTTGATTCCATGAAAGCAACATTCGAGATTTAACATTTCCTGGCTAAAGTTTGAAAGAGTGCAGATAGTATTTCCTGACCATGGATTTAAGTAGGTTTTTCTACAGTTGGAAATAGCAATGTGCAAATTTATTTGAGACAGGAAATTCATTAATCTACCTCGGTAACATGCTTGAGAGAAATTCTTTTTATTGTAGTAACCTTTTTTCCTATCTAATATCTAGTAGGCCTTAGTTTCAACCATTCACCATGACAAAGAACATCTCATCAAGAAGCCCAACAAAATGCTCTTTCCTTAACCATTTCTCCATATCTCGTGGGGAAATGGGCAGCAAACAATTTAATAAATATTTTTTTTTTAAAAAAAATTTTTTTGGTTGATTCAGAGAAGGCACATTTGTGGCTATGGTTATCAGATTCTTAACTTTATTCCTCTTTCAGACAGAGATATGGCACAATGCCACATACTTTAGTATGCACAAGTCCTTCCTTGCTATAAACACAGAGAGTAGAAATGCATGAGAGGGCTATTTTTTAATACCTGCAATTTTTTGTTGGTAACTTTGCTAAACTACAAGGATGGAACTCACACACACACACACACACACACACACACACACACACACACACACACACACACACTGTGAAAACTGAAGATAGTAATGATCAAACTGGACCTCTAACGGTAAGATTTACAAATGAGTATTTTCCAATGTCCAATCAAGAAAAAGTTCTGCCCTATTTTGTTGGCATGCAGGGGAAAGAGGCTGAATGTACTGTACTACAACAATTTTTAAAAATACCTGAAAGAACTGAATTATTGTACATTCTTAAGCCAATTTGTTGAAGCTAGTTACTTGGACTGTTACAATTCTAAATAGCTTATTAAATACCAAAACTTTCCATTCTGCTAATCAGAGGGGACCATTAAGACACCATAAGCACTGAAAGCAAAGGCTTTGCTTTGTCTTATAGGTAAGCCACTTCAACCTGTTATGGCTAATGTGCATCATGATGAAGAGAGAATATTCTACTTGAATTTTACATGCAAAGATATACATCATAGTGGAGCAAATATGATTTGCCCTTTTGTCCATCTATTAGTACAGTTAGTTAGTTAGTCTCTTTAGTAATAGTTCCCTACTGGCGCAAAGGTCCAATGCCATCTGGGATTCTTTTGAGACATGCAAATTGATCCTATGAATGTTTACTTAGATATAAACCATGTTATTTCAGTGGCACTTATTCGCAATAAGTGTTTAGGACTGCAGCCTTAGGCAGCAATGATACAGCCCATACTATTGTATAAAAACAACTCTGTATCTGAAAGATCATAATTTCCTGTTCAATGCTGACTAACATTTACCGGCCACATTAAATATAACAGACTGAATAGCTGGGTAAGTCTTTCCTGAACTATGGATGCTTTCTTTCTGGGATTTGGGTGGTTTGATTCCCTGCTTCTTCTACTGCCCAATGGTGCTAAACTAGAAAGATAAGATCCAATTTATCTGCTACTAATAGGTCTTTCTAATGGGATAGTATTTTGCTTTGGGTAATCTGACTCACAAAAGGCAGACAGGCATAATTGTTTCTGGAGGTGTGCTTGTAAATATCAGTCCTGCAAGTATATTATTATTTACTTTGTTTATATTAGTGTCCATAAATGTCATAGAAGGATGTGTGAGAATAAGTATGTGTGTGAGTGGACGCATAATGTGCCTGCGTGTGTGAGTTGAAGAAATGAGACTGAAGATGATAACATGGGCTAAGTTTTGTTTATTTTAATCACATGTCCAAAAGGCCATTCACTGGTTAAGATTGTGTTTATGTTTGTTTGTTTTGATGACATGACCAAACACAGCACTTGAACATCAAAAATAAAAATTTAAATATTAAAAATATATATTAAAAAAAAAAAGAGTTCAGAGCTTTTCACTCCAGCCCAGCACCTGGGATATACATTGCTGTCATTTTAACCTTTCTAGGCAGAAGCTTATTGGTTGTCTTAAACAGAAGAGGCTGCCAACTAGGGAAAACAGAGATTCCAAGGGAAAACTGATCCTACGACAGCATGTTATGATGCCATATAGTAATTTTGGTTGGGAAAAGGTACAAGGTGGTTTTGGGCCATAGCAGACATTATTCAACAGGGATGTTGAATGTTGTACTTTATCAGTGAATTCATTCACACCTCCTCACCATCACCCTGACCTGCTGCCTTTTTCTACAAAATGGATGCTGGTTCACTTTGGAAGTAATATAGGCAGTCCCATCAGAACATATGGAAGCCTCAGAGACTTTGCAGGAGTGAAGCAAAGCACCTGGACTTAAAAATGTTGAATGTTCACTGTAAAAATTTCTGTACTGAGAGACTGCTTTGGGCTAAGGTACCATTTGCACTATGGAAGGTTAAAGAAATTTTTTAAGAGAATAGGAGGGGTTTCCCCTTTTATGATACACCCTAGAACTGAAGAGATACTTTTATGTCTGTGTTTTCTCTTTTTGTAAAGACAGTATGCGAGGACTAGTATGTATGAATTTTGATGTAGCTCCCTCTGAGGAAGGAAATTTGCTAAGTAGTTCTGCAAACATAACAATCATATGTTTTACCTAACTTCCAAGTCACAAAGTGTTTTGTTACCACTAAATCCAACTTTAATAGGATTATATTTTAGTTCTCCACAGATTGTATTTAGGTAAACCATACTATTACATCTTTCTGAAAACCCTAAATAATTAAAGAAATAGCCAGTTAATGTCCAGCTAGGCTTTGCTTTTGCTGAGTTGTCATGGATGAGAGAGAAGACTCTATGAAATCATTAGTCTGGAAGAAAGGGCTAAAGCTAACGTTTACAATAACTTACTGCTCCTAAATTATTAGGAAATCAGGAGTAAAAAAAAATGCACCCCTTTCCTTTTTTGCAACGATACTTTTTTAAAAAATATTTCAATATACATCTAGTACTTAGGACTCCTGAAACCCTTTGCAGATTTCTTCACCAAATCTGGTGTAATTTTAAGTTACATTGGTTTACCTATGTGTCTCATCAAAAGAAGAGGGCTTCTCATTCATCGGTGTTGCGAGTTTTAAGTGATATGTTTAAAGTTTTACAGAATTTAGGAAATGAAGGAAATGCTAAAGGCATAAGAAGGATCATGTGGTTTAATACCAATTTATATTTTAAAAAAGCACTATAGTCTTGTTAACCTCTTGCTGATATTTTTTAAGTTACATTTTTTTCATATTTCCATCTTATTTGTCACTGTTGAAAATCTATTTCTTAAATGTCTTCATTGCATTTATGAAATGCAGAAAATTCTTGTTGATTTCAGTTAAAACAATGATTTATTTATGAAATTAATATGACAAATGTTATACTAGAAAAACGGTTTTCCGGTTTAGCCGGAAAATGTTCCCAACTATTATTCAGTTCCAAAAATGAAAAATATGCTAATTCTGCTCAATAGGGTTTATTGAGTATGAACATAGGAATTAAACTGAGATGGCACTCATTTATAAGGAGATCAGAACTGGTAATTTTAACAACTCTTCTTTCATACACATATTAGAAAAAAAAAATTAGAGGAAAAAATACTGCCTTGGCTATTTCTCTTCAATGTTGTATAAACTAAATTTGTCCTGTAACAAATGGCTCTAGTCTGTTAATTATATCATAATCATTGCTTCTGTTCCAATTTCTCTTTGTCCTTTTATAGATTTTTTTGTACAATAAATATATATAGCAAAAACCTTTTCTTCTTTTAATGTGTCAAGTTTGGAATCTTGAGAAGTATATAACTTGATGTTCTTGGTTTTGAGTTTCCAATGTTAATGAAAAGATTGGCATGTTTATTTCAATGTGTAACTTAAGGCCTCAGCTCTATTGCGAGGAAGGAAAAAATATGTGCTGGAATATAAATTAGTGTTACTGGATGCGCTTAATCTCAAAACCATCTGAAACCATCCAATCATACTTCTTGAGAAGTGAAAATAACATAACAAAGGTATTGAATTGCATATGATTAAATTGTAATCATGTTGTAAGAAAATTTCAAAATCTTTATAATTCCATTGAATTGGCTATTTTTATGTATGTCATTCTTTTCTACTGTAATTTCATTCTTTTCTTTTTTAAGGAGTTTAATAGTAGTGTTTCTTGACTTTCAAGATTCAAGTTGCTATTCAAGCAATCTAATGAACTAAAACTTGCCAGTTAGAAATACCGTTTAAAAAAATATTCTTTCAAACCAATCTCAAAATTTATGTACATTTATGTAGCTTTCTCAGCAACAATTTGTGATTGTACTGATAGTGAATTTGGAATTTTGGTATGGATTTTTCCTGGTTTACCACTTTCTTGGAGAGAGAGAGAGAGAGATTTAATTTTTAGAAACAGAAATGCCATGTATAATTTATTTCCTTTCACAGTAGTCAGGAATCTCTTGAAACAATTTCTTTAAAAAGAATACTTAGATTAGAAAATATTTTCTAACATCTCTCATCTAAGAAAGTAACAATATTTAAACTACTAGAATATATTCTAAACTAACTTCCAATCTTGGAAACTATTTTTTCCATCTGTTTTTTCTAAGCTAGTGGTAAAAGCAAGGTTATGTCAATGTACTTTTTCACATAATCACTTGGAAAGAGAAAGGGCCTAGAATTAATAATAACTTGTTTAAAATAAAACTTCAGTAACATCTAAATAAAATGCCTAGCATTTGAACAAGCTCTCTATCTAATTCCTTCTAATATTTCCTGGTTTATAAATAGTAAAATTATAAATGTTAAAATGGATATTATCTATTTAAAATGTTTATTCTTTAAAGTTATCTATTGGGAAGGAATTGGTAACAATAAACAATAGCCCATTCCCTAGTATAAATGAATAATTGCCATGGCTGACAGGGTTAAACACAATATAGAAATATAGGTAGTCCTCAACTTATTTGAGCCCAAAATTTCCATTGTTAAACAAGACAGTTAAGTGACTTTTGCCCCATTTTACGACCTTTCTTGCCAGTTTTAAGTGAATCACTGCAGTTAAATTAGTAACATGGTTGGTAAGCGAATTTGGCTTCCCCACTGACTTTGCTTGGCAGAAGATCACAAAAGGTGATCATTTGACCCCAGAACACTGCAACCATCATAAATACATGCCAATTGCCAAGCATCTGAATTTCGATCATGTGGCCACAAGGATGCGGTAATAGTTGTGTGAAAATGGCCATAAGTCACTTTTTTCAGTGCTGGTGTAATTTCAAACAATCAATAAATGAATGGTTGTAAGTCAAGGACTAATTGTATTTTCTTTGAAAAGCCTGCAACTATATGTAAATTATTTTTGCTGGCTTCAGCAACAAATACAATAATTGTATAAACATCATAATTATATTGTCTGTATTACTGCTTCATCGAAACGGTATGATTATTCTATTTATGAATTTTAAGAAAAAAATGACTTATATAATCTACCTTCTTTGACACAAACTGAAATATGGGCAAGAATAGCAAAAATATATTTTTGCCACACTATATTACAATAAAACATTAGTCTTGTTTTAATTTCTTAACAACTTAAAAGTAATTACTGTAATAAGATATTTAGATGGGAAACTCACAAGCAAGCCCAAGAATAATTAAGCTCAGAGTTGTACACAGAGATAACATAGCACACATGAAAGTGGATGTTATTAATTTAATCCAGAGTTCAGTTACCTCTGAAGAACTCATCTACTTCTGAGGAAAAAGGGCAAGAAAACTCATATTTACAGATAAAAGCTTGAAATAATAAATAGGCACCTCAAGTACCAATATAATGCAAACTGAAAGATATTTAGCATTAATTAAAAATTGGAAAACACTGTGAACCATCAAAAACGCTTAAAAGATACTTTTAAAAGATTAGAAAATCACATCATTCCCAAAATAGCTTTCAATTTATTTCAGCTGACCTTGGCTAGTACAGGGTCACTACTGTATATCCATTATTTCTCTCTCTTTGTGATTAATTGCAGGCATATGCATAATGGAAAGATACATGATTCAACATTGTAGCCTCCTATCTATCTATCTTGTTTGCTCCACTAATTTTTTTCTCCTTTTCCTTTTATTCTATCCCTGCAACTTTTCAGGCAAAAATATAATGCTTTGGATTGATCATAGTATTGATGAAGCAATTATTTATTGAGTGATAACTATATTGCAAAAAAGGTTACCAATTATACCAAGGAAGTAGATAGTGTCCTGAAAGGGAGTCTCAAGCCCACCTCAAATTATTTCATTTGTTTTGCTATCCCGAATTGTAAAAGCTAAGATTTATAATTGGCCAGATGTGCTACAGGAAACTAGATCATGGAATGTTGTTTTATGGAGTCCTCATAAAAAGGCAACAGGCATGTTGAGAATGCTGGCTGTGTATGTTATCAAAGTGACAAGGTTCAACAAAATGAATCTGTGTATTATATTGAGGTAAATGGAAATGTGAATGCACAAATGAATATCAGCAAGAAGTACTATACAGTTGATCCTCGACTTTTAACAATTCATTTAGTGATCATTACAACGGCATTGAAAAAAGTGATATGACCATTTTTCACACTTACAAATGTTATAGCATCCCCATGGTCACGTGATCAAAATTCAGACGCTTGGCAACTGACTCGTATTTATGATGCTTGCAGTGTCCCAGGGTCATGTGATCCCCTATTGGGACCTTCTGACAAGCAAAGTCAACAGGAAAGCCAGATTCAACTGTATTATTAATTTAACAACTGCAGTGTTTCACTTAACAACTGTGGCAAGAAAGGTTGTAAAATTGGGCAAAACTCACTTAACAACTGTCTCATTTAGCAACAGAAATTTTTGGCTCAATTGTGGTCATAAGTCGAGGACTACTTGTATGGCTAAATGTGTGCAAATATTAAGCAGCTCAACTTAACCAACTTCACACAACTAAGTCTTCAGTTTCCCCAAGCATCTCTAAACTAGCAATGCTTCTTCAAGCTCAATAATCTATTCTAGGATACTTTCCTGATGAGATAATTTGCATTTATATAATTCTCTTGCCTGCTTTAATAAGAAAAGGCTGTCAGACTGAACCACCTATGCCAGTCATGGCAAATCTTTTTGGCACCGAGTGCTGAAAAAGAGTGTGTGCATGCACATGCGCAAACAACCCAGAAGAGGAGCTGCCCAGGGCGCATGTGCACACCTAAAAATGAACTTCTGGTTTCAGCTACTGTACTTCTGGTTTCAGCCAGCTACTCTTCCGGGTTTTCTGGCATGCACGCACGCGCACACGATGATCAGCTGGCCAGCGCCATTGCTCACGCAGGAAAATGGAAGACCAGCTCTTCTAGTTTCCGGCACTGCCGCATGCAAAAAAGCCAGCTGATAGTCGCATGCACATGTGTGCCAGAAACCCGGAAGAGGAACAGGCGACGCCATGTGTGCCAGGCGACATGGCTCCGCGTGCCACTTCAGGCACACGTGCCATAGGTTTGCCATCACAGAGCTATGCAATTTGTTCAGAGATTATTATGAAAGCTGAAGCACTAGCCTGGGCAGATCCATCTGAGGAAGTTGAAAGATGATTGACAAACCATTGCACTTAACTACAAAATTATGTCAAAAGATATATTTATTTTCTTACTGTAACATTTTTTTAAAAATTTAATAACAAAATAGAAAAACATGCATATGTAACTAATTGCATGGTTCACACATAGTTTACTAATACATTTATTGTGTATTTATTATCCATGGTTACAGAAATAATTAGAAGGAATGGGATAGACAGCATCATTTCTTCTCTTTAAATGAAAATCTGCATGGCTATTAACTGAGTTACATACTTACAGCATATTGACAGATTCATGAATATAAAAATGTGAATTCATGATCCGAGAAGCTACTTCTCTTGAAAGTCCATATTTACATTACATCAACCTTGCTTCTATTTTGCTAAGAGTCGCTTAATAGTGAAATGGGCGGCATATAAATATAATAAATAAAATTTCCTGCAGCTATGTCTCATTTAGTAATATAAACTAGACACTACAAAGTAGCACCAATGGGTTTTTCCATATTTACTAGTTCAGTCCATGAAAAAGCTAATAATAAAAAAACACAACTTAAAAATTGCTAGTGTTCCAGAATAGCTAATTACTCTTTGCTTTGGGAGTCTCTTCTCATTCAACAATCATCTCTTTTTAGCAAGTCTTTTACTGAAGAACTCAGTCCAGGGGGGTGAATTTCATCTGATCACTGGTGCAAAGAATAAGCTACCTTCTTGACTCAAGCAGCTACAGCGGCAGAATACTTTTTTTGAAATTGGAGATACTCAAATTTAACTAAATAACTTGATCCATGGCTTAATTCATTCTGAAGCAGTTACTGATTATGTGAGTAAATGAAGAAAGAAAAAAAACCCAGAAAGAAAAAATCACTTAATTTACATTTCAGGGTACAGCACTGCTACTCTGCAGACATAGTTTATTATTTATTATTTTATTTTTATGCCACTCTTTCTTCCCAAAGGAACCAAGAATTGTTTAGCAGAACTTTGCATATTCAGAACAAAGAGGTGTTCAGAAAGAACCGAAACAAACTCCAGAAGTAGGTAGAACCTCAGCAAGTAAGATACCAAAAAAGCAGCAATCTGGTGTGCCACAAAGTCAAAATTAAAACTGAGAGGCGGCAGAATGAAATCCACAGTTCAGCAACTAAAAAAGTTAAATCTTAAAGA